ACTTATAAACATATTCATAAAAATGTATTAGTGAAGACTATATATGTAACATTCCTGTGTTACCAAATATGAAGAATTCAAAGGGATATATTTTAATGATAAGGTTTTATTTATGAAGATTCTATTTATAGACATTTTTCATATTCAAGGGAATGGGTTTATAAATATATCTTTCTCATGTCCCCAGTGCCTCCCCTTCCCCCAGTCTCTAGCTGCAGAGACAATCCAAATATTCGCTGAGCAAATTGGCCTTCGAGAGAATCGGTCTGGGGCTGAGGACAAGGCCCTCATTTGCATAATGCTATCCAGGACGGAATGTGGGTGGTCCTCCCACCAGCTCTTGGAGAAGCTGATCCTCCCGCTCTCCCCTCCCCCAAACCCATTCTGGGCTGGAAACATTCCAATTTGGGCTGGACCAAAGCCACCCCATCCCCTTTGAAAAACACAAGCATACACAGTCACACATGTGCACGCACTCGGTACACAGACACAAACAGGAACACTCATACACACCCAAGTGTATACATGGACAGATATGCACACATACATGGGCTGGCAGATATGCATACATGCTACATGGAGTTCACTCATTCATTCATTCAAAACATTTCCTAGACAACCAGTACTGCTTAGTAGTTAGGAGCAAGGTTTCTGCAGCCTGCAGCCTGTGTTCAAATCCCAGGTCTGCCACTTAAGAGCTGTGTGACCTTGAGCATGTGCCTGAACCTCTCTGGACCTCATCTTCCTCTCCTATCAAGAGTGACTAATAATACCTCCCCCCAGGTTGTTATGAGGCTTAAATGAGTTACTATATGTACAATGTGTAGAATTGTGACTGGCAGGTAGTATTTACACTATGTAAATATTTGCTATTATTGTTTATTGAGCAACTACTATCTGCCAGGCACTGTTTTAGGTGCTGGAGAATTAGCCCCGGATAAGTGAGTTATATTTTTATGAAGCAATCAAGCACAGGCTCAAGTGTGGAAGGGAAGGCGGGGAGGGGGGGAACTCTCTACAAAGTAGAAGCACCTGAACACACACCAAATAGTCATATATCCGCACACTATACAGTATGAACACAGCACTAAGGAGGATTAATACCACATGCCCCTCATTTCACTGTTACTAATTAAATTTCTATTATTCTTCACCCATTTGCTGTCAGTGAAACTGAACTCTCCAGGCCTGCTCTTTACTTAGAGAGTAAAAGATTGAAATCTCAGGGCCTGGCCATAAAAAGGCAAATCTTCATAATGAATAAAAGGAGTTTCTAGAAGAGATGGGGGCAGGTCCCCTGTCGTTTTCAGTGACAGTGGAGAGACTTCTAACTTGTCTACAAGTTATTCAAAGATTCTGATTTGAAAAGGTGTTAAAGTAGAAACATTCAAAAGGTAATTGGTCTTGTTTTCTTGTGCACTATGAAGACTTGTATGAATACTCCTGTTATCAACTTCTGTCTTCTAACAGACTCTCTCCTTGATGAAAAAGACCTGGAAAAACCCTAAGGCTTTAGAAATAAATGCCATGTCCTAGAAAGTAATCTTCAAAGAAAAGCTGTAATTCCCTCTCTTATATGATATTCTGCTCTTTGTCACCATGTTGTTATGATGGAAAACTTCTAAGATGCACAATGGGGTCGGGGTGGGGGGAGCCTATGATTTACCACTCCACTTCCATTAGAATGGCTAAAATTCAAGCCAAAAGAGACAAAAAGAGACAATACAAAATACTGTCAAGGATACATCTGGAACCCTCATCCACTGCTGATGGAAAAGCAAAATGGTACAGTCACTTTGCAAGACAGCTGGGTTGTTTCTTCGGAAGTTTAATATACACTGACCATATGACCCATCCATTCCACTCCTGGGTGTTTACTGAAGAGAAATGAAAACATATGGCTTCACAGAGTCCTGGATGAGAATGTTTACAGTAGCTTTTGTCATAATCACCCCAAATAGAAAACAGTCCAAATGTCCTCCAACTGATGAACGGATAATCCAATTGGCGTCCATTCGTATTCAAACCACAGAATACTACTCAGCATTTAAAAGGAACTAGTGATGCACACCACACATAAAATTTAAATTCATGATGTTAAGTAAAAAAAGCCAAACTCAAAGGCTACATACTGTAGGATTCCATGTACATGACATTCTGGAAAAGAAAAGATTCTAGGGTCCGTGGTTGCCAGTGGCTGGGGGTGGGGCAGGGTTCACCACGGGAAAATTTTTTGGGGGTGAGAAAACTATTCTATAGCTTGATTGTGGTAGTGGTTACACAATTCCATGCATTCATCAAAACTCAGAACCATATACCCAAAAGAGGGAATTTTCTAAACGTAAATTATACCTCAATTTTTAAAAAGCAAAAAGTCCCCATAAGTCTGTTAAGAGTTCTTATTTTAACTTGAAGATAGACTCCTTTTAAATTAACAGTACACGCACCCATGACATTTGTGTACACACACAGACGCCTGTGTGTTCAGTCACATGTTTCACATACATGTATGTGTGTACACTCCCTCACACATGTGTGCACAATACAATGCACATGCACACACACACACACACACACAACCTGTCTGCACACATGTAGTCTAGACCCAGGTATAGTCACCCCACCTCCCTCCCACTTACCTGATCAGGAAGTGGACGCAGACGATACTCTCAGACTGGGGGCCCCGGCCCCCTGACACCACTGTGGCCTGGGTCTGTGTCCACAGGTAGCCACCACTCCGAGCCAGGAAGCGGTACCGCCCTGTTACTGCCTGGCCCTTGCTCAGCACTGGAGAGGGGCGTGGGGAGGGGTCAGAGCCTCAGAAGGGGCAAGTGGGGAGAGAAGGCTCTGGGGGTAGGGGGTTAGGTATGACAGGGCCAGGGAAGATAGGGTGCCTTGAAGATCGGGGAGCTGGTATTGCTTGGGGCCACACAGCGCAGGCTCAGGCCCAGGGAAATAGAACCGTAACACGTACGGGTGTGAATGCTCTGGCCGACTGCATCCGAGTCCAGCGCGTGGATGTATTCGTAGGCGGAACAGCCAATTAGGTCATCGGGGCTGTAGCCGGCGATTTCAGCGATCCTGCGGTGGGTGCAGTGGAGCCTGGTCAGTTCAACTGGCTGAGGTGGAGGGTGGGGGAAAGGAAGGGGCAGGGGTACCCAGGGACCAAGCCAGCAAGACAGGCAGACAGGATTGCAACAGAGAGAAAGGGAGAGAGTAAGAAGTAGAAAACGAGGAGTGTGGTAGACTGAATAATGACCCCCGAAGATGCCCTGCCTTAATGCCTGGGTGTGTTAGTTAATTCCTGGAACCTGTGAATATGTGACCTTACACGGCAAAAGGGACTTCGCAGGTGTGATTAAGTTAAGGATCTTCAGTCCGGCAGATTATCCTGGATGATCTGGGTGGGCCGATGTAATCACAGGGGTGTTTATAAGAGGCAGGCAGATCAGAGTCAGAATGGGAGACATGATGGAGGAGGAGGTTGGAGTGATGTGCTTTGAAGACAGAAAGGCCACGGGGAAAACGAATGCCTTCAGAAGTTTGAAAAGGCAAAGAAACAGATTCTTCACTGGAGCCTCCTGAAGGAGCACAGCCCTTGATTTTAGTCCCATGAGACTCACTTCAGACTTCTCGCCTCCAGAAGCCTGAGATAGTGAATTTGTGTTGTTTTGAGCCACTGTGCTTATTGTAGTATGTTATAGCAGCAACAGGAAGGGAACACAAGGGGAGAGAGAAGGTGGGAATGGGAAGAGTGAAGAAAAGAAGAAAAAGAGAACGTGAAAGAAATAGGAGAGGGGAAGAGACAGGAAGAACGAAAATCACAAAAAGACCAGAAAGAATGATTAGAAATAAAAATACTGATGACCAATGATTTTTAAAATATACATTTCTATAGTGCTTTGTACCAGGCAACACACTGAGTGCTCAAAACAACCACTCACAGTAGGTTCTGATATCATTCCGTAGGACAGATGAGGAAAGTGTGGCACAGAGAGGTGAAGTCACTTGGCCAAGGACACACAGCCAAGAATAAACAGCTGTTTGAACCCAGAGTCACCATTCCTAAGTACAACTCCAGGGCGAGAGAAAGAGGGAAGATGTAGAAAAATGAAGGGAGGAAGGAAGGAAGGGAAAGGAGAGCAGAGGAAAGAGAAGGAGAGAGAAAAAGAAAGGGAAGACTAGAGGGAGAATTAATAATGACAGTTTATTGAGTGCTTACTGTGTGTTGGGCACTGTCCTGTTTCACATGAATGGACCCATTTAAGGAAAGTAACAGAAGGAGAAACTAAGAGAAAGACTCAAAGAGAAGGAGGCAGAGAGAGAATCAAAACTAAAAAGACCCACAGAAAATGCAGTGAGTGAACGTGGATAGAAAGGAAGAGGAGTCAGGCCAGCGGGCGGGCAGGTGGGCAGCTGGGCCCCTGCCCACCTCTCGTCGCAGTAGGTGAACTTCATGTCCAGGCTGTGGCGGCTGAGGAAGGCCCCCCGGCCCAGTGGGGGCTCCAGGCTGCCCGGGTGGGGGATGGCTTCACAGATGAGCACCAGGCATTGCAGGGGGGGCTCTAAGTTGGGGCTCCCAGCTGGGGAAGTCTTTACAGGGGGTTTGTAGGCCCTCATGTGTCCAGAGCAGTGGAGCACCTGGTGGGGGAGGGGCGAGGTGGTAATGCACTTGGGCCTGGGGCTACCCATGGGGCCGGGAGGTATGTCTCTGTGGGTCCCTCAGGGAGCTGAGAAGAAGAAATCCCTGAGGACTGCAGACACCCAGCTCAGACAGCTCTGAGAACCCCCAGCCCCCAACTCCACAGAGTCCCAACCTAAGGAGGTTCTGAAGATCTCTAGAGTCTAAGACTCAGGGAGGTCTGAGGACCCCAGATTGCAGCCCCATGGAAACTCTGGGCCCAGAAGACTGGGACCTCCCGCCACCACAGAGATCCAGACTAAGAAAGGATACTAAGACCCCATACACCAACTCCACAGACACCCAACCTCCTAGGTACCTGAAGGACCCACAAGACTCGGCCTGAGAGAGCCCTGGCCCAGGATGTCCCTGGACTCTAAACCACTGCAAGAATTTTAGGGCTCAGGCCCAACCGCAGCAGGCCCTCCTCCAGGCCAGGCCCTGCCCACCTTCCAGGTGGCTGCTTTGAGGTTGAGGGTACGCCCACGGCTGGTGAGGGTGCTCTTCATGCGCAGGGAGAAGCACCGCTCGGTGGGGGCCTCCGGCTTCCTTTTGGACAGGCCTGGGGAGAACCATGGGGGGCAGAGGGAGGTGCAGGTCACCGGGCAGCTTTGGACAGGACCCAGTTCCTTCCAACACTCTGGTTACAAAAGTCTCCCCAGCCTCATCCCCAAAATCGAGACCTGGAACCAGAGAGAGTCCCCCAGGGATAGGGTATGCTCCTTCAGACCGGCCCAGGGCAGGGCCATGTCCCCTCAGATTCCCAGGGCAGGGCCACTGTCCCCACAGACCCCCAGGCAGGGCCCTTGTCCCCACAGACCCCCCCCAGGCAGGGCCGTGTCCCCACAGACCCCCCAGGCAGGGCCGTGTCCCCTCAGATTCCCAGGGCAGGGCCCTTGTCCCCACAGACCCCCCAGGCAGGGCCGTGTCCCCTCAGATTCCCAGGGCAGGGCCACATCCTCCTGTTCCCATTTTTCTCAATCCAGTATTCCAGAGGAAGAAAGGATATACTGAGGGCAGGGTGGAGTCTCAGTTTCTGTAATTTGGGGAGAGGCCTCTAGGGAACTCACTCTGCTGGGGGGTCAGGGCATCCTGAAGCTCCTCTTGGTCAGAGGGGTGGATGAAATCAAAGATACTGTGTCCAATGAGCTCAAGCTGCGAGGGAGGAAAGTGTGGGGTGTCTTGGAGGAAAAGCATTTTACCAGGGCCTCTGACCCGTCTCCTCCTTCCCAGCCTCACCATACAGCCCTGATTCACCAGGCTGGTTTATGTCACCAGTCTCCTTATTCATTTCCTTCCTCCCTCCCTTCCTTCCTTCCTTCCTTCCTCCCTTCCTTCCTTCCTTCCTTCCTGCCTGCCTGCCTGCCTGCCTGCCTGCCTGCCTGCCTTCCTCCACCATACTATTTGCCAGGCCTTCTTGTAGATGGTATGCACACAGCAGTGACCACAAAAACAAAGTCCCTGCCTCTCAGAGCTTACTGGCTAATGGAGGGGGAGATAGCCAATAAATAAAAACAAAACACACACATATATATAAAACAATATATATAATAAGTAGTATGAAGAAAACTAAAGCAGGGTAAGGTGATGAAATGGTGGGATGCTATTTTAGAGGCACTAGTTAGGGACAGTTTCTTGGAGGAAACTAGTAGGTGGTCCTGTGGTTCCTCTGGGGTAGTGTTTTGGAAAGCGGGAACAGCAAGTGCAAAGGCCCTGAGGTGAGTCCCCATTCAAATGCTGCCTGTTAGGCAAGCTAAAGACTCAGCGTCTTGTTTCAGTTCAGGCAATGAGCTTGGTGTTGGCAGGAGGGGACACAGATGAAAGGGGACCCACATAGTTCACAGTCCAGTGGTGATGGCGAATAGAGGAAGAGCGAGAGCTCCCTCCTCTGACAGCACCTCCTGTTGCTGGATTTGAATCCTGGCTCTGCCACTTCCCAGCTTTCAGACCTTGGGACATTCACCTCTCTGAGCCCAAAGAGCTCAAGCTGAAGGAGAAATTGGTACCCGGAGTGGGGTAACAAGGCAGGGAAGAGGAACAGGTGCCAACTTGGAGACCATTTATGTGAACTAGGAAAAAGGATGGTAATTCACGGAGCTTGCTGTAAGGATTAGATGAAATTAGTTCTACTTCCTAAGTGTCTCATTTGTCTTCCCATCATCAGGCCCTTATTCCTATTCCTCTTCTCCCACCCAAGGCCCTGCATCCACCTCCTTGAGCATCTCCCAGCCTCTAGTCTCAGTCTCTCCAATTCTATCTCTGTTCAGCATTGATAGGGATCTTTCTAAAATGTATATCTGATTCTGCCTCTCTGACACAACCTCTCTCTTGCTTAAAATCCTTCCATGGCTCCCCAGTGCCCTGGAGATAAACCTTCAATTTTGGTCCTAAATTATCTAGCCTGTATTGGCTTTTCTAGCCTTTTTTTTTGGTCTCACCTTCTCCCATTGTACTCTGCACCTAGCCAGGATAAATGTCTTTATTTTCCCCAAATGCTGTTTTATCTCACTTCTGGGTCTTTGCATATTCTATTCCCTTAGCCATCTACATTCCTAGTCTTCGCTGGTCCCATCCATTTCTCATACTCTTTGGCTAAATCCTTCTGTTTTAGTTTAGATTTTTTTCACCTCCTGGAAGCCCTCATTGTCTCCAGGCTGGGTCAGGTGGCCCACCCTCGCTGGCCTTGCCCAGCCCCCTAGGCTGCCCCATTCCAGCCCTGACCATTCTGAGTCTCCCTTTCTGGTGACATATCTGTCTCCCTCTGTACTGTGAGGCCTGTAAAGGCAGTCTAAGGTGGTACTGGTCACCTCTGTATCCCAATATCACCTGCATGGACCAGGCACAAAGCAGGCAGCTCCTCTCACCTGACTGAGGCCTAGGTGTTTGCTGACATTCTCCGACAGGTAAGCCATGTCTCCCTCGGCGGTAAGCACCATGACGAAGCCCTCCAGGGCCTTCAGGTAGCAGGCATCCAGTGGTTCACCCCCTGCTCCCACCTGGCTCCACTCCCCTGGTGACCGGGCCAGGTGGTTGGGGCATCTCTAGTCAGCTGTTGGTCCCCCTGGTTATCCCCCCTCTGCCTTCCCTCACTCAGAGGAACGTATAGGTAACCCCCCCCCAGGTGAGAGGGGCACATCCAGTGACTTGGGGGCCCAAGGGAAGGGCAGGGCCACCAAGGATTGGAATTCTCAGGGAGCAAGGCCTCCGAGGGAGACAGAATTCTAAGGAGGTAGGGATGTCTCAAGGGACTAGAACTATTAGGAGGACAGAATTCTAAGGAGGTGGAATTCCCAGAGTGTAAAATTTTAGGGGGCCAGGGCTTAGCAAGAGTCGGAATTCTAAGGGGGCCAAGCCTTGCAGGGGTTCCAAATTCTGGGGGCAGGACCTTCCAGATGGGCAGAATTCTAAAGAAACAGGGATTCCCAGGCAACGGAATTCTAAGGGGGCAGAGCCTCCCAGAGAAGCAAAATTCTATGGGGCCGGGAAGTTTAATGGACAGAGCCTGATGGGGGATGATTCCCACCTGTCCCATAATACAATCTTTTCAGGGTCCTGGGACTTTAAGGTAGGGGTGTGTGTGTGTGTGTGTGTGTGTGTGTGTGTGTGTGTGTGTGTCTCAAAGCCTCCTGCAGAGTGGAATTCTAATTGGGTGGGAGTTCAAAGGCATGGATGGCTACTAAGGGAAACAAAACTAGGGACTTGAAGAGGGGCAGGGGGACTCTTTCAAGTAATTAAAAATTGGGCAGCGAAGCCTCGCAGGGTACGAGGCCTAGCCGACAAAGTCTCCCAGGGGACCAAATCCTAAGGGCTGAGGTGCTTCAGGGAATTTGCGGGCCTCCGATTCCACTGAGTTCTAAGGAGGCGGAACTTCCCAAGGGTGTACTCCAAGGGGCGGGGCCTCACAAATGATAGACGTCTAAAGGGCGGAACTTCTCAAGGAACTGGGCTCCGACTGGCTCAGAACTTGAGGGGGCGGGGTCTCACCGGGACAGTGGATTCCAGGGGTGCTGGGGCTCCACTGGTAAGACATCAGAGGGCGGGGCCTTGTCGGGACTAGGATTCCCGGAGGAGGGGCCTCCCTGGGTTGAAGCTTTCCAAGGGCGGAGCCTCGCCACGGTGGGAATTCCCGGGGACAGGACTCACCTGCGGCACAGAGGCGGTGCATGCGCAGGTAGCTGATGGTCAGGCGCATGATGGAGGCCTTGTCCAGGTGGGCGCTGACCCCGCGCGCGAAGGGCAGAGTGTGCGCCAACTGATACAGCACCTCGGTCTCTTGGCTGCGCCGGCTGCGGGCCGCATCCCGGGACTTCTCCTTGCGCAGCTCGGTGCTCGACCTGCGGGCATGGGCAGCATTCACTGGTGGCGCCTCCGGAAGGGAAAAAGATAGAGGCGGACGGGACAAGCACGTGGGGTGCTGCCACATGGGGCTCGCGCTCACTGTGTGGCCCGGGCGATTTCCCGGAGCACTCTGGGCCTGGAAGGGTTATACTCTGGAGCCGCTCCTAGCCTCTGGTTTTATCTGTCCCCGAGTCAGCCCATGATGCCCTCCTGTGCCTCGCAGGGCTGCTCTGTCCCCTCCCTGACTTATCTGCTGTTTATTCCCTGGCACGGGACGCCTGGGGGACAGGGAGGCCTCCTGCTGGGAGGGGGCTGGTCGAGCTGGCCCGGTGCCAGGGAAGGAAAGGAGCATGAAGAAGATGCCTGCGGCCTCCCAGGCCCCCTGCCCTACAGCCTCCTGGCCTTCCCCTTCCTCAGCTGAGCTGAGTCCTCGGAATCTTGGAGCACAGATCTCAAAGTCCAACGACCACCAACAGGGGCCCCACCGGGGTGACACAGCAAACCAACCCCAGGGTTCTGTCCAGCCAACAGCTAACCAACCACTCACCCTTGCCCTTTAATCTACTTCAAATGCCTGAATTCTGCAAGTTGGGGTGAGAATAGGATGAGTATCGTTCTTTTCAGAAATATCTGCCACTTACCCAGCTTTTACTGTGACATGTGTCAGTCCCTGTGCCATGTGTGTAACTTACATTAACCCATTTAGAGCTTAGTCGACACTAGAAGAAAGGTAATTATCCCTATTGAATAAACCAGGAAACGCGAGCACAGAGAGGTGCAGTGTTTGCCCATAAGAAGTGAAGCCCGGATTTGAACTCTTCAATTTTCCCTGTCTCTTTGGCTCTGGGTTTATATCCAGGCTTTAGTGTTTCTCCCTGTTTCTTACACTTTCTTAAAAGTCAAGATCCAGGTCTGTCTGACTCCAAACTCTATAGCTCTATAGTTGGTTTTTTTTTTTTATTTTTATTATAGAGTGTACTACACATAGCATATATAATCTTATCTATAATATTGATAAAACCATTAATAATAAGCAGTATACTTTGCTAAGCACTGTACTAAGTAGTCTGCCTGTGTGTACTTATTCAATCCCAGGATAGCTCTAGGCAGGAGGCACTTTAAACCTCCATTTCACAAAGGGGAAACCGAGCCTCTGAAAAGTGAAGTCCTTGCTCAAGAAGTCACAAAGTCAGTAACTGACAGAGCTGGGATTTGAACTCAGGCATTGAGGTTCCAAAGCCTTCATGTTTCTAATTCCTCCCTTGTGACCCACCCCAGGGAAGCAGGACTCTTGAGGGGGGAGGCTGTCCCTTTCTAGAAATCAGAGGCCACTTCTGGGGGTGGCATCAGCCTAACTTCCAAGCAGGAGACCTGTAGCCCCACCCACAGACACGATGAAGAGAGGGGAGGGTACTGTCCCGTGTGCCTGAAGAGGGAAAAACTTCTCAGTGCAACTGGGAGGCACAGAAAGGGGCAGGCTGGGTGGAGGGGTGGAGGGAGCAAGCAATCACCCCCATCCCCTCCCTCCTGGCTGATGGGGGGGGCGGGGTGGGGGGCAAGGGCCTCCAGTCCTGCTCTGCCCAGAGGACATTCCGTCCTGTCCTGTTCTGGTTCTGTTCCAGCCCTGTTTGTCTTCCTGCCCAGAGGGTGGGGGTGGGTGGGCCTCACTGAGCTGGGGGCCCCCAGGCAGAGGGAACGGGGAGTGGGAACAGGAACAGGGGTGGGGCCGGTCCCCACCTCCCAGGCAGCTGAGCTCTGTAATCTTCTCTGTGGCAGACTTCTCCCTCCATAGAAGGAGCCAGCTGGTGGCTGCAGTGGACCCTCCTTCCAGCTCCCAGTCTGTTCTCTGACAGGAAGTGTGGGCCTCTCGCTGGCTTCACACAAATGTCTGGGTTTCTGGCCTTTCTCATTAAACAGATTGGGGGTTAGTTCCTCTGGTTCAGGGTTCCAATCTTGACTCAGTTACTAATTAGCTGTGCGACTTTGGGCAAGTTGCACAGCGTACCTGAGCATAACAACACCAACCCCACGGGGTTATTTCAAAGATTAAATGAGTTAATATATGTCAAGGGCTTAGAAGTGGGCCTGGCAATTGGTTACTGTTCTGTAAAGGTTACATTTTTCTTTCTTTCGTTTTTTTTTAAAATTTTTTATTTTTTATTATTCCCCCTTTGTCCACATCAGGGATGGAAGGCTTAGGAACCTTTTGGGTACTGGAGAAACTGGGGGCTTTGGTGGTAACTTCGTGGTGTGGTGTGTGTACAATTACATACATTGTAATTGTGTGTACAATTACATACATGACTTTTACACAAGTACCGTGGGAAGAAGACTAAATACTAGTGATAGTAATAATAATAACAGCCTTGGTGTATTGAACGCTCATGGAGCTAGTGACCCCATTAAACGCTTTCAACGACCCCGAGAAGCAGCCAAAGTGACCTCCCAGTTACAGTGGCACCAGCGGCCCAGGGAACTCAGCTGCTAATCCCAGGCCCTCCACTAAAGCCCAACTATGCTCACGATGTCTGTTAGTCTGACCATGTACCTACCAGTGTTTTCCCCATTTTCCTGACAAGGAAGCAGGCCCAGGGAGGTGATGGAACTTGCCTGAGGCCACACAGCTTTTAGCAGTAGCACCAAGTTAAAAACCAGGTTTGTCTACTTCTGCCCAGAACTCTGTCTGACTTAAACACAATTTACTGCATACCGGTGGGGTGTCCTGCCCAAAGATTTGTTTCCTCACTGCTCATCTTGAGGTGGTGTGGGAGAGGGGACGCATGACCCCTATTTTTCCAGGATATGAAACTGAGGCTCAGAGAGGCAGTCACTGGCACCTGGCCACACAGGAAGCCGGTAAGCTGGGATTTGAACCCCAACTTTAGGGGCCTATGTTCTTGAATGCCATGCCTTGGCCGGTGTGCCCACCCAAGGGGCTTCTACCTTGCCCCTCCTTTGCCCGGTGGCCTCAGTCCCTTCCCTGTGTCCCACCCCTGCTGCCTCCGGATTTCCCCAGCTGGACAGTCTTTCCAGCTGGCCCCATGCCCAACCCTGGTCCAGCCCCCTGGCACTCTGCCCAGCTCGGGACGTGCAGCTGGAACCCTGCCACCCTTCGTCTGTGTTCCAGCAGAGAACAGGGGGTGGGGCCCGGGCCTGGAGGCCCCAGGGTGAGGCCTGAAAATGGGGACTGGAGCCTAGTGCACCCCCAACCAGGAGAGGGAGAAGCCCACTTCTTCCCTGTCCTGAACGATTGGCTACTTATGAGCAAAGGCCAGGAGAAAGTGGGGAGACCCTAGCCCACACTCAGGACTACTCTGAGCATCTCTTCTGACACTCAGCTGGGTATTGAGAGTCTTGCAAAAAGTGTAGAAGATTTTTGGGAGGCTTAGATACAGTATCAGGGCAGAGACCCCTCTTGGTACCGCCTGAGGTGGCCTGAGAGGCCAGAGGCAGGGTTTAGATTTGAGAAGGGATTTGGAGTGGGGGTTGGGGGGAGTCTCTCTGCTCCCCGACTCACTTATTCCAAAGGACATGGTAATCCAGTGGGGTGCCTATACCAAAAGTCCTATCTTCTTTAGGAACCCTCTAACCTGGGGGTCACCTAGGGCAGTGTGCCCATCAGGAACTTCCTAAGAATATCCCTGACTGGGGTAGGATAGCAGAAAGCCCAAGCTGGAAGAAAGGAAAGAGGTGAGGAAGTATGGGGGGCCCAGTCACCATCGCCCAGGCCCCTTTGGCCCATGTGCCATCCTAGGGGTGCAGAAGGGGATGGAGCATGGCTGGGATCTGGGTGTGAGTTATGAGTGGGTGGTGTGCAGTGCTAGGATGACATCACAGGAAAGGGCTGGCCTTGGGTGGGGGGTGGGGAGCACTGCAGCTCAGCCAAGAGGGGCCCCCACCCTGCCAGGAGGGGGCGCTGGGAGGGGTTGGACTAGGGCTGGCCCAGAAGGGATGGGATGGAGTTCCCTGGCAGGCTTAGAGCCAGAGACTAGAATAGAATTGGGGG